AGTGAGGCCCTAAAAGTGATAATTATAGTTACCACTTAGGAGCTGGTATGTGTGTAGGGTTGTTAGGGCTCTCCTGGCCACCAGAAAGAGAGTAGAGTTGCCAGCTCTAGGATATTTGGGGGTGGAGCCTGGGGAGGGTGGGAGGAGGAGGAGGAGGAGGTGGTGGTAGTGGTTTCCCCCGGGTAAGGGAAAGCATATCTATAACAAGTGGTATATTGCAAAAACTCGTTTAGTTCAGTTGGTGGGGAAGGATGGAACAATATTGACTAAACAAAATTTAGAGAATCTAATAAATACATCTGTTTCCTGGTATGAGTACTTGCAAATCAAGCACCTTTTAGAAGATTAAAAAATAGCAGAAAAATTTAAACAACCATTATTCGAGTTTGAAAAATTGATCATGGCTTATACATGGGAAACTAAACAATTACTTTCTAGGGTTTATAAAATTCTCATAAATTTGGAAAGCCCTGGCAAATTCTCATATCAACAAGCATGGCAAAAAGAAGCTCTGACTAATTTAACCTTGTCACAATGGGATGAGATACGGTCTCAGCAGATATACAAATCTAGTAACACCACTATTCGGTTACAAGCTTTTAAAACTCTAACACAATGGTATTTAACTCTGGTTAGATTAGCTTATTTCTTTAGAACCAAGTCAATGTTATGTTGGAAGAAATGTGGGCAACATGGAGATTATATACACGGTAGAGTTGTGCCATTCTACAGAGTTACTGGAAAAGGATCTTAGTTCATATCCAAAGTATTCTGGGAGTCAATTTAGAGTTTAAGCCTGAAGTGATATTATTAAATTATGAATATGGCAATGATTTATCAAAAGCCACTAAAAAGCAATTTCTGTTTTATTGGCAGCAGCTAGGATGGTGGTAGCCAGTTCATAGAAGAATCCTTTGAAACCGAAGATCAAAGCCTGGTTTAATAAAACTGCTGAGTATTTTGTGTTAGATAAAATAACTGAAAAAATCAAAATAGCAGAAAATAGTGAGTACAAGTCGGTATTTGCTGATATATGGTTCCCTATAATATCTTACATCGCTGTTAAAGACATCAAGATAACTCCTCAGTATATTCAAGAGATGCTGATATTTTAAACATTTATGATACCTTAATGTGTAAACATTTGTTGCCTTTTGTAAAATTGAAAAATAAGATTGGTTTTGTTATTGCATGACATCTTGAGATCGAGGAATCATAGTACACAAGGCTGACATGGGAGGGAGGGGGATCAGAGGTGTTCTATGTTAATTGTATGATACTTGAATGGGGTAGTTAATTTTAGGTTTATGATTTCATAGTTATTGTTGCAGTTGTAAAAGTTTGTATTATTGTATGAAGTTCTGATTGTTAATAATGTTGAGAAATTAATTTAAAAAACTGATTAAAAGAAGAAGAATTTATTTATACCTCGCCCTACACTTGGCGTCTCAGAGCAGCTTACAAACTCCTTTCCCCTCTCCTCTCCACAACAGACACCCTGTGAGGTAGGTGGGGCTGAGAGAGCTCTTTCAAGAACAGCTCTGACAGAACTATGGCTTGCCCATGGTCATCCAGCAGCTGCACTTGGAGAAGTGGAGAATCAAACTCGGTTCTCCCAGATTAGAATCTGCGCACTTAACCACTACACCAAATTGGGAGGGGAGGGACCTCAGAAGGGTACAATGCATATGTAGTAAAGATAAAACCACAGGTTTCTATGCGGGAAACAACGAATTAGACAAGATATGGCTGTCAACCAGTGATAAGTTAATACAAAAAATATGTACCTTTCTGATAGAAAGATATTTGCAAGATGAGATGGTTAAACTCTCAATGGTAGCATGGATAAAAGATATGGGTTATACTATAGATATTGATGACGGGGCCAAAATATGGAAGACTATGAGATACCTTAGTTCAACAGCTTATAAAGAAAATTTATACAAGATGTTCCATAGATGGTACTGGTCGCCAGATAAAATCGGGAAATGGGCACCTAAAATTTCAAAGAATTGCTGGAAATGTAAGAATAATATAGGAACGTTTTTTCACATGTGGTGGAAATGTTGTAAGATGCAAAAGTTTTGGAAAACTATTAAGCAGATAATATTATAAATAATGAATGTTAATGTAAATTTGGTACCAGAAATATACTTGTTAAACATCATTCCAGACAACTTTGATCGAGAAGATAGATACTTATTAACTTACATTTTAACTTCGTCAAGAATTATGGTAGCCCGATGTTGGAAATCAGACAAATTACCCTCTAGAATAGATATAGTAAAGAAACTACTGGAAATAGCCTAACTGGACAAATTGACTATGTTACTACGTGGTAAAGACGAGACAATGTTCCAAAGAAGATGGATAACAGTATATAAATGGTGGGATAAATATATTATATGTAAGACTCCAAAAATATGAAAATGTATACATAAAAGTGCTTTTGGCTGTACAGTGAAACAGAATAAATAAACAGGTGTCTGTAGTCTCGAGATGAGTTGTAATTCTGGGGGATCCCCAGGTCCCACCTGGAGGCTGGCATACCTATATATGTGACTCTTCTGTCATGGGATCTGACATCAAAAGTCACTTTCAGATACCAAAGGTCTCTCTTTACAATCACCAACTGCCCAGCAATGGAAGCTAAGTCGGTCCCCATAGGATTATTGCATGATTACCTATCAGTTCCCATATGGTATAATAGAGAATCAATCCAGGGTATCAGAGGGGGGCTGTTTTTTGAGGTAGAGTCACCAAATTTACAACATAGCTGCTGGTGCCTGTCCTTACTCCCCCCCCCCAGTTTAAAAAAGATTGGACCAGGGGGTGGCACAACTCTGTGGTGAGAGTCTGAAGGTGTTTAAAGGGCTCACAGTCCCTTTAAACACCTTCTCCAAGCAGCAAGTTCATCCAGAAGGCATTGGGCTTGGAGAAGGCATTTAAAGGGACCACTCTTTTAAATGTCTTTAAGTTCGACTATCCAGCAGTCCCAAAAATCCCGAATATTTTTGGGATTTTCAGGGACCAGACATTTTGGATTGCCAAAAAAAAAAAAAAAAGCCAGGTCTATATCCGGCTGAAAGAACATCCAGAAAATATCAATAAGATATTTTTCAGATATTTTTTCAGCTCGAATTTAGTTGAATGCTCACCCCTAGAGGTTTTTTATATCTTGCCTTTCTGTACCTTAAAAAGTCTCAAAGCGGCTTCCTCTCTCTCCAGCTGGAACTTTGTGAGGTAGGTGGGGCTGAGAGAGTTCTGAGAGACCTGTGACTTGCCAAGGTCACCCAACTGGCTTCATGCGGAGGAGTGGGGAATCAAACCCAGTTCTCCAGATTAGAGCCCACCACTCTTTTTTTAAAAAACATGTTTATTTATAATTTTCAACATGCCCTCTGGGGGGTATTAAATACAAACAAAAATAAAGAGAAAAAACAATTTTTTTGGAGTCGTACTTATACATTGTTATAACCTTCTTTTGTTATTATCTATCCATTTATAAAAATTTTCCCATCTACGATTAAACAAAGCATCATCTCTATTATGTAAAATTGTGGTCATCTTATCCATTTCTACCGCTTCTAATATCTTATATATTAATTCTTTCTTAGAGGGAATTCCCTCTTGCTTCCAGTATCTGGCAACAAGAATATGCACTGCAGTTAATATATATATAATAACGTGCTTATCATCTATGGTATATTCATCTGGTATCATGTTTAACAAGAAAGGTTCTGGGAATAATGGTATATCTTGCTCTATGATATCTAGAATAAGTTTATGTACCTTATACCAAAAACCTCGTATTATGGTGCATTTCCACCAACTATGATAAAAAGTTCCCACGTTGTTTTTACATTTCCAGCAATTTCCTGATAAATTCGGATAGCATTTTGCCAGCTTATCTGGTGATAAGTACCATCTATAAGCCATTTTATAAACATTTTCCTTATATGGGATCGATCTTAAGTATTTCATTGATTTCCACGTCTTAGACCAAGTATCTATGTCTATATCCTTAGGACATCCAAAGTCCTGCATCCATATAAGCATGGATTTTTTAACTGATTCATTGTGTACGTGCTCATCAAGGAGAAAATTATATATCTTCTGTATTAGCTTGTCATTTGTGGATAACCACAACTTATCCAAATCAGATTTTCCATGGAAAAAGCTTTTATTTTTGTCTATGTCATATCTTGTCCTTAACTGCATATTCTCCATCCATGTCAAAATTATATTTTTCTTCTTAAGAATATCTTGCGCGATCAAATTATCTTCTTCATCTAGTAACTCTTCATATCTTATCTTTTTCAAGTGGCTCATTAGGGAGGGTTTGATGAACGCTTCTAGTGGTGATAACCATCTTGGAATTTGTGTGTAGAAACGTACTTTAATTTCTTGCCAAATCTTGTTTAAGGCCCCTCTTAACGTATGTTGTTTAAAATTTGCATGCTGTTTTTTCTTTTCATACCATAGGTATGCATGCCATCCCATTGCGAGATCATGGCCTTCTAGAGTTAACAGTCTTTTATTCTCTAACATTACTCATTATTTAATCCAACCCATTACTGCTGCAGAATAGTATAATTTCCAATTGGGTAATCCGAAACCTGCTCTTTCTTTTTTATCCTGTAGAATTTTCCAGCTAATATGTGCTGTTTTATTTGCCCATACAAATTTTCTACAAATCGCATCCAACTCCTTAAAGGGTTTCATATTCCTTAGTACCAGTAAATTTTGTGCGAGAAAGAGGAATCTTGGCAGGATGTTCATTTTTAATAGAGCTATCTTACCCATAAATGATAACTTTAACACTTCCCATTTCAACAAGTCTTTTTTTATGTCTTGGAGTAGTTTAGTATAGTTGTCTTCTACCAGTGTGATATTTCTTTTCAATATTATCACTCCAAGGTTTTTCACTCTTTTAACTATGTTCATGAGGGATACATTTTGAATCTGGCGATCTTGTTTCCCAGTACAGTTTTTTGTCATTAAATTTGTTTTTCTATAATTAACTTTGAGTCCTGATACTTTCCATAACTCCTCAAAACTTCCAATAGATACGGAAGTGATTCAATTGGATCCTCTATTATAAATGCTACTAAGTCATCTGTGAATGCTTGAACTTTAAACACTTCCTTGTTAACTTTAAGTCTTTTTATTTGGTTATGGCCTTTAACTAAGTCTAGTAGAGTTTCCAATGTGAATATAAACAGTAGCAGTGACAAGGGGCAACCCTGTCTTGTGCCCCTTTGAATTTGTATGTTTTGTGTCATATCGCCATTCACAATCACCTTTGCTTGTTGGTTCGTGTATATTGCTCTAATCATTGTATAAAAGTTTTCACCACAGTCCCAGTTTGCAATCTTTTGTAGCATAAAGTCCCAATTCACTCTGTCAAAGGCTTTTTCAGCATCCAAGAATAAAAGTGCTACTTGTTTTTCTGGATGTAACGCATAATATTCTAATACATTCAGAACGACCCTTATATTGTTTTTGAGCTGTCTTTTTGGTAAAAAGCCTGCTTGATCTTGATGGATTATATCGACTAGAACTTTTTCCAACCTATTTGCGATTATAGATGCAAATATTTTATAATCCGCATTTAACAAGGAGATTGGTCTATAGTTCTATATATCCTTTTCATCCGAGTTTGGTTTATGTATTAGAGTAATCAATGCTTCATTCCATGACTTTGGCATTTTCCCTTTTGCTGTTATATCCTGTAGCAAGTCTTTAAAAGGAAGTGAAATCTGCTCTTCAAATCTTTGGTATATCTCTATGGGTATCCCATCCGGCCCTGGTGTTTTGTTCTTTTTTTGTTTCTTAATGGCTTCTGTTACTTCAAAACAAGTTATTGGGCTGTTTAATAAGGTTCTTTGTTTTTCATCAAACCCCGTGCTCCACCTCTCCAATCTCCTTCGCCTGCAGGTGTGCCCCTGGCGGGCCTGATTGGAAGCACACCGGGACCTTCTCGGAACAGCTGCGGTTGTTGCCCTTCTTTTGCTTGTTGAACCGCGCTGCCCTTGACCCTGCTGTTTCCCTGGGTTGATTACAGGCTCGGTCCCCAGCGCCACCCTTCTGAGGCCCCTTTGGCCCGGTGGGCCTGTTGGTAGAGCAAAGAACCTGCTCTAACAATGGAGTTGCTGGCCGGGGCACAGGCAGGAGACCCGCCTCCTGACACTTTAGCCCTTGTATTTTAGCACTGATAGATTTAGCAATCTGCCAGAAAGATTATTTTTCCCTTACAAGTGTGGATCCAGTATGGATCCAGTGTGGATCCAGTATGACTACTACGTCCACTTCCTAGCATAGTTTTCCTGCTTTTGCAGAGCTATTGATAAAGCTTAGAAACAATTTTGCATATTGGAGACCTTTTATGGCTAATAGGTTGCTAGGATATGCATTCAAAACTGGACAATGGTTCATTTATTTTAATATAGATAAACATGACACACCCATGGGAGTATCTGAACTAGTGCTGCCAACCTCCAGGTGGGATCTTGGAGATCTCCCAGAATTACAACTGATTTCCAGACCACAGAAATCAGTTCCCCTGGACTAAATAGCCCACTGAGGTCCCTCCCCTCCCCAAACACTGCTCTCCCCAGGCTCCACCCCAGATCTCCAGGAATTTCTCAATGCAGAACACTGTAATGTCAAATGCAAAATATCCTGTACATACAGAGTGGTCTTGCTTTGCATACAGTGCAGTATTTCCAAAGTGAACTTGACTAAGGTATCAATCCTAAATCAGACGTAAGAATGAACTAACAGAATGTGGCATTATAAATTCATGAAAAGAACAGGTTTAATGTCTGTTGCTATTTTCCAATCAGAAGGGTGAATAGTGCTTTTAAAATCTTTGTCCACCCCCCCATTCATTTTTACAATAATCTTGTGTGGTTTGCCTAATTCAACAAATGGAAACTCCAAACCGAATACACCCAAATTGCAATTCTGTTGGGTAGAGAATTATTTGAGCTGAGTGCATTGCATTCCTTCATTCACCAAGTTCAAAAGCATCTTCATTTCCCTAATTTTCAATGAAAGCATCTCTAAAGAGACTCCTGAAGCTTCACACCAATTAGGGGGAAAGCCAGCAGTGCATATCCAGACATGCCACAACATTCCCTTTGCAAGCTTCTGCAGATGGGCTCCATTTGCCTAGGCCTGGCTCTAGAAATGAGATCACTCCAACGGCACTGAGTAAAGACAGTCCCTTTCACCCAGACCTATGAGATCACTGCAACCTTCTTGCTGCATAAAACGATCACAATGCTGCTTTTCATTAACATAAGCAAGGGGGGGTCATCAAAAGCATGAGGGTGCAATTCTGTTAAGGTCAGAGATTTTACAAGTCTCAGGTTTCACAGTGACCATGTTGGTGACAGTATCTAGGAGCAGAGAAACCATTATTGTCATGGGACAGCTTGCTTTTCCTTTGGAGTATATTGAGGCCTGTTAATTGACAGTCAGTAAACATATCTTTATAAAAATCAGGGCCCTGCATGTGAGTTGGAAGGGGGCAGTCCCTCTAAAGCAGCAGATGGCACCGGGCCAC